GGAGTGAGTGTGTGTGTGTGTGTGTGCTAAACATCCGGTGAGTGAGTGAGTGTGCGTGTGCTAAACATCCGGTGAGTGAGTGAGTGGAGGAAGATGGCGGCGCTGATCCTCCCGTCTGACTGGATAAAAAACTGGGACAAATCCGGGAAAAATGAGTTGTGAGTAAGAGTTTGGTAATCAGATGGGAAGTGGGGATGAAAATAATGTCATATCTATTTTATTAGGGCGGTATCGCCGCGGGTGATTGTTCTCCTCATTGTGAATGTCCACAGCTAACGTTTGTGCGCGTTGAAGACTCATTACTCAAAGTTCAATAAAATAGCCAACACATCTACATGTACTACTAACCAAATAAAGAATATAAAGTCTGTAGTTTCTGTACATGGTTGTGTAAGACACTTTATCGAGTACTTCACTCGTTTTCATGAATGTAATGTCAGTGTGCTAATAGTTAGCAGGGTTAGCATTAGCATGTGTCTACTTATCAGTGTGTGTGTTACATAGTATTTAATGTGTGTTTCATGCTGGTTAATAAGATCTCATGCACCCTGAGCAGAGCTGAAGTCAATATTATGGGGTGTTAGGAGGTTGTGTGTAGTGTGAGGTGTAGATGTAACGTTAGCTGTGCTAAAGAGTTCAAGCTCACTTTTATAAGCGCCCCGTCAGATTTACAGATGAGATATCGGTTGAGTCTGAAACGTAGTGATGTGCCCTACCTAGAGAGCATTTGTGAACAGTACAGTCTCAGAGCCTACTGAGCGGTCTAACTATGGACTGCTAGCGAGCTGCCTACTGAGACTGCGCTGTAGTGAACAAAGTGCAGCACAGTGTCAAGGAGACCATGTGAGCCGCTTATGTAGACAGCATTTTGAGCACCTGTGATGAAGAGGGACGCCAGTGCATGCTAAACCTAGTGAGGCGTCACGTGCAGTGCTGTCTTGTTAGGCAGCTTACTAGGATTTGAGCACTGCCTGCTTGATGTTTACATGCACCTGTCTTCTGCAGGTAGTTTGACCCATGTGGGTGTTTTGGGCGGCACTTGTTTGCAGTAAATTCAGCTGGTAGTGAATTGTTAATAACCTGTAGCATAGGGAGTGTGTTAAAGTTGTTCAGCGTCATACAGAGGTGATTGTGGTGTTGGATTAGACTGCAGTTGTGTGATACAAACAAGCTTTACATGTGTAGTACGCTATGCATGTTTGATCTGTTATGCCCAGAAACTATTAGACCTCGTTCACTGTTAATCCAGTGCAAATGAAATTTTTTTTTTTTGTTGATTATGTGCTTATTAATAACTGAAATTCTCTTTCTAGCCGTTCACTTATTTGCCTTTTCTGTTTCCAGTTTCCAGTTTTTCCAGGGCCTTGCAGGGAAACCCAGCAGTCATGAGTTTGTTAAAGGTGAGTTCAATTCATAATTGTTAGTCTTTGGGCTTATGATGGTGGGAATGTGTTTACCACTGTGGTGGTTGTATATAGAGATGCACCGAAACTGTGCCGAAACCGAAAATTCTGGATGCACTTGGCCGAAAACCGAAACTGAAAATGCTTTGTAATGATTATTTATTATTTTATTAAATAATACAAAATAATTTTGCAAGACTTTTTAATTTAACTCAATTTTAATGATGCTGAATAAAAAAAAATAAAAAAAACACAACATAGTTTTTACTGAAAGTAACACAATAAAATTGGACAGAATTTATATTAATATTAATAACACATTGCAATAAGGTTCATTAGTTAACCACTTTAGTTAACATGAAAGAATAAACAATACTACTTCAGCATTTATTAAACTTAGTTAATATTCATTTCAACTTTTAGTATTAAAATCAACAGTTGTGCTTGTTAACAGTTCATGCACTCTGAATTAACGTGAGCTAACAGTGAACAGCTGTATTCTCATTAGCTAACATTAAGAAAGATGAATAAACACTGTAATATATTGTTCATGTTAGTTAGTAACACTAACTAATGGAACCTTATTGTAAAGTGTTACCTTAATATTAAATATCAATATATTATTTTTATTCAGTTCCTTCCATGCAACAGAATCAGATATAGCTTTTTTTTTTTAAATTAAACTAATTATCCAAATCATGTATAATCCTACGAAGCTGTTATTATCAGAGCATGTGAGCAGAGCAGAGCGTCACGAGAGAGTAGTCATTTTTACCAGCGCTGCCATGTTACAGCACAGTAGCGCTGTTGCAGACAGGAACAAATAAACTACAAAGAAATATCCAGTCGGCGCGTTATTTGAGCGGACTTTGCTTTTCCGGTGAGTATGAGCGGCACACGAGCGGAACGCACATTCATAGAACGGAGCAGTGACGAGGAGCGTGAAACCTCTCGTTTATTTATGCAATGCATACATACATGATGCTGTTTGGTTCATAATTGTTTATGCAATTTATGAAATTATATTTGATTTATATATGTTAATTTAGATGTTATGCACGTTTTTTTTTTATGGACAGTTATTTCATTGCTTTGACAATTTAATATGCTGCATTGTTTTGTTCATTGTGGCCTCGGGAGGCAAGCCAAAAGTTTCCACAAGACTTATTTAATCTGCATATAACATATAAGAAAGGAGATATTTGTTTACATTTAATTTTGTGTTTGACTAAAAAAAAACCAAAAAAACTGTTGTTTGTCTCAATAAGTTGGGTAAATTAAAAACACAGTGGTTAAATAAAAAAAAAAAATTCTATTGCACTTCGTTTTAAAAAAAGGTTATAAAAAGTGTCAATAATTATCGATACCGAACGATATGAACATTATCGTTATAACAAGACATTATATAATTGATAAATTTTTTATATATATATGCTAGGGCTGGACAATAATTCAATATCAATATGTATCGCGATATAATTTTTTTCAATAACGGTGATATGATTTTTAAACACATTTCCGA